CCCAGGACTTTGAGGTTGCCATGAACTAGGCACTAAAGCCTGGGCAAGAGACTCTGTCTCAAAAAAAAAAAAAAAAAAAAAGAATAAAGCAATTGAGCTTTGTTGCAAAATTGTTTACAATGTTATAATTTTAAGGCTCTAAACCTCTCTTAAAGTTACCATAAAGTAATCGTGAGATTTATTCTCTTCCTAATATATGTTTTGAAAATGCTACATAAGAAGAATCTTGCACAATTGAGTTTGACTGACTTAGTAGATACATGTCTGAGCAACTTTGAAGAAAGAAAACAGGAGTATGCACTTCCTCTTGGTCCCATATTTTATATGCTTATCTAGAACTTAAACCCAAACTACTTCCCCATAAAGACAGGAGCTTATCATACCTTGGCACCATACAAATCCGAGTTCTTCATTAAAAATTCTGCTGATGTTCGTACTGTGACTCCTGTAGTTTCACACTGCAGTACACAGTTTTCCAATGTAGTCTTACCACGGTGAATGACTACGATGAGAACATACAATTGACTGCTTTAAGTAAAGTACCTTTTCCAGTATTAAAGATAGACTCAGCCGGGTGCCGTGGCTCATGCCTGTAATCCTAGCATTCTAGGAGGCCCAGGCGGGAGGACCGCTCGAGGTCAGGAGTTTGAGACCAGCCCGAGCAAGAGCGAGACCCCATCTCTACTAAAAATATAAAGAAATTAGCTGGACAACTAAAAATATATAGAAAAAATTAGCCAGATATGGTGGTGCATGCCAGTAATCCCAGTTACTCAGGAAGCTGAGGCAGGAGAATCACTTAAGCCCTGGAATTTGAGGTTGCTGTGAGCTAGGCTGATGCCATGGCACTCACTCTAGCCTGGGCAACAGAGCGAGACCTGTTTCCAAATAAATAAATAAATAAAAATAAAGATAGCCTAGAGCTGATATTAGATAGAGTCTGAATATTTCTCAATAGCTATTATTAAAACTTTGTTATCTGAATTACAAATTCATAAAATATAGAACAATGAATATTTTGAGTTATTTTCTAAAATCTAAAAGCAACATTCTTAAAAAAATGACCTGACCTCAGAAGTGCAAAAGCACTTTCATTATCAAAAACAGTTATCAGAGAGAAACTTTGCAGAGTATCTTGGAAGTAGGAAAAAGACCCGAATTCAAGAAAAGGGATACAGATCCTAGGAAAGAAGCATTAGCACAACGTGAAGATAGCTAGTTTCAGTCTTATTCTAAATTGAATACAAAGAACACAGATCACATTAGAATGTTTTAAAAGAAAATAATGACCACACAGAAAAGAAACTAATATTAAACTAACAAATTTTCAAAAATAGGCTGAACTATTTTTCACTTTGGGTTAAGTTTCCTAAGTTATCATGCTACGTACATAAGTAAGTAATTAACCAGCCTTCCATAAACAGACATTCCTCAGAGATGGATTCTAGACTACCACAATAAAGCAAGTAACACAATAAAAGGAGTCACGCAAATTTTTTGGTTTCCCAGTGCATATAAAAGTTATGTTTACACATAATGTAGTCTGTTAAGTGTGCAATAGCATTATGTTTTTTAAAAAATGTACACATCTTAATTTTAAAATACTTTATTTTGCTAAAACATGCTAACGATCATCAGAGCCTTTAGCAAGTTGTAATCTTTTTTACATGTTGATAGCTACTGACTATCAGAGTGGTAGTTGCTAAAGGTTGGGATAGCTGTGGCAATTTTTTTAAAAATTAGGCAGCAAGGAACTTTCCCAAATCCATTGCCTCTTCCTTTCATGAAAGATTTTCCAGTAGCACGTAATACTACTGTAATAGCATTTTACCTATGGTAGAACTTCTTTCAAAATTTGAATCAATCCTCTCAAACCCTGCCACTGCTTTATCAATTAAGTTTAACTATTATTCTAAATGCTCTGTCATCATTTCAACAATGTTCACAACATCTACTTCACCAGGAGTAGATTCCATTGCAAGAAACCACTCTTGGCTGGGCGTGGTGGCTCACGCCTGTAATCCTAGCATTCTGGGAGGCCGAGGTGGGAGGATTGTTTGAGGTCAGGAGTTTGAAACCAGCCTGAGTGAGACCCCTGTCTCTACTAAAAAAAAAAAAAAAATTAGCCAGGCATGATGGCGCATGCCTGTAGTCCCAGCTACTTGGGAGGCTGAGGCAGGAGGATCGCTTGAGCCCAGGAGATTAAGGTTGCTGTCAGCGAGGCTGACACCACGGCACTCTAACCTGGGAAGAATGAGACTCTGTCTCAAAAAAAAAAAAAGAAAAGAAACCACTCTCTTGTCATCTATAAAAAGCAGCTCCTCATCCATTCAGGTTTTGTCATGAGATTGTAGCAATTCGGTCGCATTTTCAGGCTCTAATCCTAGTTCTCTTGCTACTTCTACCACATCTGCAATTGCTTCCTCCACTGACATGCTTAACCTCTCAAAGACACCCATGAGGGTTGGAATCAACATCCTCCAAACTCCTGTTAATGTTCATATTTTGACTTCCTTCCATGAATCATGACTGTTCTTAATGGCATCTAGAGAATGGTGAATCCTTCCCAGGTTTTCAATTGACTTTGCCCAAATCTATCAGAGGAATCACTGCCTTATGAAGTATATTTCTTTAAACAATAAGACTTGAAAGTCAAAATTACTTGTTGATCCATGGGCTGCAGAATAAATGTTGTGTGAGGCATGAAAACAACATGAATCTACTTGTACAACTCCATTAGAGCTCTGGGGTGATCAAGTGAATTGTCAATCAGGTTTTTGAAAGGAATCCTTTTTCTGAGCAGTAGGTCTCAACAGTAAACCACGCTATAAACAGATGTATGTCATCCATGCTTTGTTGTTTCATTTATAGAGCACAGACAGAGTAGATTTAGCATAATTCTTAAGGGCTTTAGTATTTGGGGAATGGTAAATGAGCACTGGCTTCAATTTAAAGTCACCAGTTGCATTATCCCCTAACAAGAGAGTTAGTCTGTCCTTTGAAGCTTTGAAGCCTGGCATTGACTTCTCTCTAGCTATGAAAGTCCTAGATGGTATCTTCTTCCAATATAAGGCTGCTTCATTTATATTAAAAATCTGTTGTTGAGTGTATCCACCTTCACCAATTATCTTAGCTAGATCTTCTAGATAACTTACTGTAGCTTCTATATCAGAACTTGCTGTTTCACCTTGCACATTTATGTTATGGAAATGGCTTCCTCTTTAAACTTCTTGAACCAACTTCTGCTAGTTTCAAACTTTTCTTCTGCAGCTTCCTTACCTCTCTCAACCTTCACAGAATTGAAGAGAATTAGGGTCTTGCTCCATATTAGGCTTTGGCTTAAGGGAATGTTGTTAGCTGGTTTAATCCTCTATCGAAACTACTAAAACTTTCTTCATATCACCAATAAGGCTGTTTCACTTCCTTATAATTTGTGTTCACTGAAGTAGCACTTTTAATTTCCTTCAAGAACTTTTCCTTTGCATTCACAACTTGGCTAAGTGTTTCGTACAAGAGGTCTAGCCTTTGGCCTGTCTCAGCTTTGGACATGCCTTCCTTACTAAGCTTAATCATTTCTAATTTTTAATTTAACATGAGAGACATGAGACTCTTCCTTTCACTTGAACACTTGGAGGCCACTGCAAGTTTATTAATTGGCCTAATTTCAATATTGTTGTGTCTCAAGGAATAGGAAGGCCAGAGGAAAGGAAAAGAGACAGGGGACTGACTGGTCAGCGGAGTAGTCAGAACACATACAATAATGATTAAGTTCACCATCTTACATGGACACGGTTCATGGTGCTCCGAAGCAGTTACAGTAGTAACATCAAAGATTAGTTATCAAGCCAGGCATGGTGGCTCATGCCTGTAATCTTAGCACTCTGGGAGCTGAGGCGGACGGATTGCTCAAGGTCAGGAGTTCGAAACCAGCCTGAGCAAGAGTGAGATCCCGTCTCTACTAAAAATAGAAAGAAATTAATTGGCCAACTAAAATATATATAGAAAAAATTAGCCGGGCATGGTGGCGCATGCCTGTAGTGCCAGCTACTTGGGAGGCTGAGGCAGAAGGATTGCTTGAACCCAGAAGTTTGAGGTTGCTGTGAGCCAGGCTGACGCCACGGCACTGTAGCCTGGGCAACAGAGTGAGACTCTGTCTCAAAAAAAAAAAAAAAAAAAAATTAGCGATCATGCTGCTTCACAATGCTTATAAAAAATAAAATTAAAAACAAAAAGATTAGTGATCACAGATCAGACTAACAGATATCATTAAAAAGTCTAAAATATTGTAAAAATTACCAAAATGTGACAGAGACACAAAGTAAGCACAATTTGTTAGAAAAATGGCATCAACAGATTTGCTCAAAGCAAGGTTGCCAAAAACCTTCAATTTGTAAAAAACTCATTATCTGTAAAGTGTAGTAAAACAATGTATGTCTGTACTCATGAGTGGCATTTCATTAAATTCTATCTTCCATAGAAAGTTTCCCTTCAAAGTCTACAACAAATCATATACCAAACATTCAGATACTTACTTAAGATTCCTTCTACAGCATCATGCTGAACAAATTTTATGCATGAGATTTTAATATCTGCACCCGTGCAATCCACAAAAGTGTCACCTTTGCCCCTCTTTTCTATCACAATATCATCCGGAAGACCATATCCTAAGGAAGAGAGCAAGAACACTTAGGATGGATAAGGGAAAATGTCTAAACACAAAAATGCTACAACAGATCTCTCTAGTTCAAATGACTTCAAATGATCACTTAAGACCAGTCAATCCAGTAGCATTAAAAAAAATCTAATTATCTCCTCATATGTCCTATTTAATTTAAACCCAGGGTAATCAATTTTTAACAATAACAACTTCCCAAGTAGTCCCCATGTCAGGAAGACTACCTTATCATCCATCTCAGACTGGGCTCAGTACTAAATTCACTTATAAAACTGCTATAAAAAATAAATAAATAGGCCAGCCGTGGTGGCTCACACCTGCAATCCTAGCACTCTGGGAGGCCAAGCTTTGAGCTCACGAGTTCCTTTGAGCTCAGCAGTTTGGGACCAGCCTGAGCAACAGCAAGACCCCATCTCTACTAAAAAAATAGAAAGAAATTAGCTGGACAACTAAAAATATTTAGCCGGGCATTGTGGCACAGGCCTGTAGTCCCGGCTACTCGGGAGGCTGAGGCAGAAGGATTGCTTAAGCCCAGGAGTTTGAGGTTGCTGTGAGCTGGGCTGACACCATGGCACTCTAGCCCCGGCAACAGAGTAAGACTCTGTCTCAAAATAAATAAATAAATAAACAATCCCAAGAACTTAGATCTGAGTCAAAGGGCTTCCAAGCATTCAATCCTTTTAAGTTTTAATTCTAGGATCCTATGTCTCTAATAATTACATTTTCTCAAGATTATTTAATTTTAATAGGCTCTTAAACAAATTGACTTAAAATCTAACAAACTGACTTAAACAGTTGTAGCTACTAGAAAAAATGAACTACTTTGTTAACCAGTAAAAAAAACTTCATATCTTGGCTGGGTGCAGTGGCTCACACCTACAATCCTAGCATTTTGGGAGGCTGAGGTGGGAAGATTACTTGAGGCCAAGAGTTCAAGACCAGCCTGAACAAGAGCTAGAACTCATCACTACAAAAAATAGAAAAATTAGCTGAGCGTTGTGGCACACGCCTGTAGTCCCAGCTACTTGGGAGGCTGAGGCAGGAGGATCACTTAAGCCCAGGAATTTGAGGTTGCAGTGAGCTATGATGATGCCACTGAACTCTAGACCAGGTGACAATGTGAGACTCTGTCCCCAAAAAAGAAAAAAACAGATCTCTATAAATAGTAATGCAGGCCGGGCGCGGTGGCTCACGCCTGTAATCCTAGCTCTCTGGGAGGCTGAGGCGGGCGGATTGCTCGAGGTAAGGAGTTTAAATAGTAATGCAGGCTGAGCCTCTGAAAGGGCTTACAAAAAATTGGAGTATCAGAAAACTAAAGAACTCACTTGACTTTCATTGTAAAACAGAACCACATAGACAAAGCTGTAAGTAGGCAGTAACTCTCATTGTCTAAAGATGAGTCTTCGAGTAAATGAAAGTAGTGACAGCATTAAACAGGCAAAGGCACTGAATTTATTTATTCTTGAAGAACGCAGAGCCTTCGGGGCGCTGGAGAACAGAAGAGGGCTTCACACACTGGGATGTTACCAGGGATGGACTCTGGGTGACCACATTATGAGCAATTTGGTTTCTGCTTCTTTGTATGTGTCTGCCTATACTGCATATTTTCTACAATAACCATTGATTTTTATCAGACAAAAGTATAAAAAGAACTGCATATTTAAGAAAAAACAGATTTTTACACAAATTATGTATTCTCATCAATTTAAAACAAAAGCCATCACCTAAGTGAGTGGATTTTCTAAACAAGAAAGAAAAGCCCTACTGTTAAGTACCATTAATACCCTATACATAGTAGGTACTCAATATGTATCTCTTGGTATGACCATTCACTATAGGTCACTATCAGATAAGCATCAGTCTTACTCATGAGCAAGTACTCCACGTATTCACATTAGAGATACCATCTGGATAACCCAATTCTCAGAAATGCCCTGTTAGTAAATTTACAGTCAATTTTATACTTACCTATTAGAATTCTATATGGTCATTTAATATGCTCTGGCAATTACATTATCATTTCCTTACCAATCTAGGAAGAAATCTTATCCACCATACAATCTATAATGTCAATGTTATTTTCACTATGCCAAAAAATAAAGTGTTTATATTGCAGTGATTTATCCTGCAGATGTGTTATTTATACACACACATTTATTATAAATCAAATACTGGAGAGGAAAAAAGAACAAAAATTACACACATAAAACAAAAGGTGTGAGGGAGATGATGTACTAGTGAACAGCAGGAAATTAAACTCCTAGCCTTACTTCCAATATGAAGTTTTGACAAGATTAAGATAAAGAACATAGCTTAAGCAGTTTGTGAACAGCTGCACAAGTCCCAAAATGATACCCCTTTTTTGCATTGTAAGTTGTATTGTTAACTTAAAGCTGTTTTGGTAAATAGTTGAACAGGTGCATCTAAGTTTGACACGTTACAGAAATATACAAGACCAAGATGAACAATTGTAAGGTAACCTAAATTTAAGAATCACTCTAAATGAACAATAAGATTATAACTGCTAAAAAGTTATTTTTAATAGAACCTTTCAACATTAACGTCTTCAAAGTATATTTTGATCAAGATACAAAGTGTAGCATTTGTGACATTCATCAAGCTTTTTACAGAATTAAGATAATTTTAGGTATCAATTTCAAGTTAAATGCCCTTAACTATACTTCTCACAAAAATAAGCTAAATTTAAAACAAAACAACAAAAAAATACACTAAGATATCCACAATAGATATTAAGCAACAAACTTAAATAAAATACTAAAATTTTCAAAAAAATATTGCTGAGAATTTTTTTATATACTAGATTAGATTTCCTTTACATAAACCACCTATATTTGGAAAAGCAGCTTCTTCTTCTGAATAGTTCTTTTCCTTTATGTGCCTGTAAACATCTTCCCAACATGTATACTGCTGTAAAGAACCATAAGACAAGTTATTCAAATACTGGGTCAATTCGCTTTAAGCTTTTAATAACCTTAATGTTTCAAGGCAACCCATTTTAAATCAAATGGGCTGAAAACACATTCTTTTTTTTTTGCAGGGAACAGAGTCTCACTCTGTTGCCTAAGCTAGAGTGCCATGGCCTCAGCCTAGCTCACAGCAACCTCAAACTCCTGAGCTCAAGCAATCCTCCTGCCTCAGCCTCCTGAGTAGCTGGGACTACAGGCATGCACCACGATGCCCAGCTAGTTTTTTTCTATATATTTTTAGTTGGCCAATTTCTTTCTATTTTTTTAGTAGAGACGGGGTATTGCTCTTGCTCAGGCTGGTCTCAAACTCTTGACCTTAAGCAATCTTCCCACCTCAGCCTCCCAGAGTGCTAGGATTACAGGCGTGAGCCACTGCGCCCGGCCTTCACATTCTTGAAGCTTCAACATGATTGGTGATTTACTTTAAACATATCAGACATGAGAGTTTGGTTGTGTGATCTTCCACACTCACCTTCCAACTCAATGGAGTCAGCAATGGAGAATGTGCCATGTACCACATAATGGCCAGGACAAACAATAACAGTGTCACCTTCATAGCAGGCATTTATAGCAGATAATGGATCCCTATGGAACTAGAAAACAATGACAAATTGCAAATACACCCCCAAAAAGCAACTTGAATATTAGTCCAGGTGTCTTCATGTCTCACTTTGAAAATGGAGCCAAAACTGCATATTGAAGTATCTCCTTTAATAGTACACTGAGCCCAATGCATGCTTGGTAAGTGACTACTACTGATAAAAGGCAGGGCTCTATTTCCCATTTCACAGAAAACTATCTCTGGAAGCTCCCATAAACCCTTTGTAGAATTCAGGAAAACCTACAATAAATCAGAAGAAAAAGAGCCACCCAGAGCAAGAAACTCTCCTTTACCTGAATTTCTGTTTCTTCCTCATAAGGGTCCTGGCAAAGCCTGTCGCTGAGCAGAGCACGCAGTAGGCCAGTTGTCATGGTAGAGGAGACCACATGGGTGACCTTCTGACCACTTGGACGGATGCCCTTTGCTTGGATATTAGAATTCTTCTGATAACCAAACACATACCTTGAAGAAACCAAACAGAGCTATCAGTTTTCAGTAAGACAGCTAGTAAGAAAAGATGCTAACTAGCTAAGATAACAAAGACACACATACCTCAACAAAGGATTCTCAATGAGTTTTAGCTTTTGTTTCAACTGTTCCATCTCCGAATACAATTTTAACCCTTCCACCATGGAGATATTTTCCTGCTCGGAATCAGAGTTACAATTTGATAAACTGCTCCTCAGATTTAAAAATTTTCTGTAACTCTCCTCACATTGAGACAACAAATTGCGGTAGTCAACAATAAGTCCTGAAGGAACTCGGTCTTCAAGAATGTCATAATGCCTGAAAGTTTAAAAGCAAATTGAAATCCATGGCCTTTCGGGCACATTTTCCTACCATTAAGACTGCATATTTAGTCCTCAAAGACCAAATAAGAAAAAAGTTTTATGGTATATAACTCAAGCACATCATAAATAAGTCTTTCTGATAGCACTCTATTATTAATGTAAGTAGAAAGAATTTTTTTTTTAATTTTATTTCACACTGGGTTTAAAAAAAAATTCTTAAGAAATGGGTAGCAGACGGCAATTTGGGAGTGAGGGTAGGGAGGGAAGTATCTCAAATTGTTTCACAACAATTTTTAAGATTACCATATTTATAGGATCAAATATTAGAAATGATTCAAATCATCTGTCTGTCCTTGCATTTAAAGCACTATAGCACAAAACTCTGAATATTTCCTCAGAAATATCATTAGAGAATTTCAAAAACATAAGTCTTTGAGATTCTGAGAAAAAAAACAAATAAAGCTGTCATTACTAAACTAGAGCAAGAGTAAAACAAAATAACCAGGTACTAGAAAACCTTATTAGCACTTTAAATTTATTAATGTATATACCTTCTCAAATATAAAGACAGATCAAAAAATATTTCTAGATATAATAAAATAATTTATAAATGTACAATCAACTTGATGGGTAAAAATTAATGGATTTGAAAATAAAGTACAATATGTTAAAATAATTGCTTTAATTCTCAGTAAAAGGTATATTAACTAGCTATTTCTTAGGTCAGAGCTTCTCAACCCTGGCTAAATAATAAATCACCTGGAGAGCTTTTAAAAATACAGGTGCTCAGGCTTCCAGACCAATTAAATTGGTCTCTAGAAGTAGGTTTTTTTTAGTCTTAAGGATAATTCTGTTGGCTAGAAGTAGGTATTGTTTTAAGTTCCCTAGAGACGATAACGTGCAGCCAAGGTTGAGACTATTGCCTTAGATGATATTTTTTTAACTTAGTCATGCTCTGAATAAGATGGAGAAAAAAAAAAAAAAACCCAGAACCACATCCTGAACAAATTTACATCAAATTATGGTGAACATTCAAATATTTAAAATGAATATAAAATAACTTTTTCCTGTTTTTCAAGTAAATGAATTAGGTGAAGCCTGAAAAGCAAAGATTATGACTCAAATTTTAAAATAAATTTCTTAGCATTTCCAATATCCATGCCAGTTAGCTTATTTCTTCTTATTATAATAATATTTTGTAGTCTAGAAGCAATGAACCTAACGTCTGTGTCTCAAACACCTAAGTTCTGAAGCAGTGTGTTTTGAATTAGAAAGGAAAACATTTACTGCACAGTGCAAAATCAAGACAGTACGGTTAGATTCCTTTTAAATCTTGCCTGTTGCTAGCTCTAATCCTATCTTAGCCCAGGGACCTTTTTAAAGAATCTGCTCAATTTGACAGCAGTCCAGTCTCCCCATCAAGTACTGTAGTTTCTTCCCCATAACTAAAACAATGCCTCCCTTATGCTTTCCCATCTTCCAGTGATGAACAAGGTATGTGTGTAAATCATTTCTTCTTGTTAACATGTGCAAGGCTGTCAAATCAGAAGACAATTTTTTTCCAAGTAAAAATCAAATTTGCCAGAAAGACATGAAATTCACCTACCATTATATTTCACTTCAATCAAAACCATTCGTTGCTCTTTAAAAGCAAGTGTAGCAAATCTAGAAAACATTCAACCTTATTGAAATTCTGTGATTTTATTAAATACACTATGGGAAAATAGGAAATGCACAATGGAAAAACTGGAAAGCTAAATAGAAATCACAGCCAATTTATGAAAAGCTGAAATCAGACAGACATAATTCTAAACCAAGTAGAATCACTAACCAGACTTTCATATAGCTCTCATTTTATTATTATTTACTATTTAAAACACAAGAAATCTACTCCATCAAACTGGGTTCCACAAAAATATAAAGGCTTACTGCCTTTGCTTATATAGGCAAATCATCTTTCACACAAGGATAAAAAATTATCTTCTACAATTTTTTTTTTGGAGTGAGAGTTAAAACTTTATTTTTATTGCAGCACTACCTATTAAATTACTGCTCATGAATACAAGAAAAAAAAATGACTGGTCATAGAGCACCATTCTAGGGGAAAAGTAAATGCCACATTTAATAAGATCAGTAGAATACTTGTATTTGGGTTGCATGTTTAATTTAGGTATTTTTGTATGGAAGGGGTTTTTCCTGCCAAAAGATGATAAATTAGAAGAATGTGTTTAGGTATTCTGAAAGTTTTTATTCACTACCAATATTAACTATTTAGCATTTTCATCTATTTGTCAAATAAGATTTAAGCAAAGAGCTTAACTAAACATGCTGAGATAAGTCTGTTACTTTTTTTTTTTTGAGACAGAGTCTCACTTTGTTGTCCAGGCTAGAGTGAGTGCCGTGGCGTCAGCCTAGCTCACAGCAACCTCAAACTCCAGGGCTCAAGTGATCCTCCTGCCTCAGCCTTCCGAGTAGCTGGGACTGCAGGCATGTGCCACAATGCCTGGCTAATTTTATATATATATATACATATATATATATTAATTGGCCAATTAATTTCTTTCTATTTATAGTAGAGACGGGGTCTCAACTCTTGCTCAGGCTGGTTTCAAACTCCTGACCTCGAGCAATCCGCCCGCCTTGGCCTCCCAGAGTGCTAGGATTACAGGCGTGAGCCACGGCGCCCGGCCAAGTCTGTTACTTTAGCCTACTTTATTTTGCTATAGAAACTTAGAGTAAAGCCACATTCTTTAAAAAATTAAAGCAAAAAAGTCTTCTATAATTCAAATAATTTCAGTTTTCAAACAATTGCCTTTGAGTTTAACAAAGGACTTTTAATACACTAGCTCAATTGAATTTTATTCAGATTTACAAAACAGTGAGCTATTAACTTAGATGTTCTTGAACTCCTTGCTTTTTAGACTCAGACTATAAACACTAAAAGCATGTGTATGTTAACTTGTACAAGTTTCATTTAATAACTTGTCAAAGGGTTGTACTATTTGTATGTGGTGTATTTTTGGCTATGGAACCCTGGAGTATACGTGTGTATCTCACACAGGTAAAAGTAAACCATGGATAACTATTTTTCCAACACATGTAAGGTCAATAACAAATACTTACAATCTCAATCGAGGTTCAACACATCTGACAAAATAATCGTACTCATCCTCCTCTTCTTCATCCCAACTCCTCCAAATGTTTTGGTAGAAAAACCTGAAAAAGAACTTAGTATTGTTCAAATTCAATTGCTGGCTCAAAATATTAGGATATTAGAAGTAGAAGAGATAAGGAGTAAATCAAAACAACCTTCATATTCTTAGAGAATGTTGCATATTTTCTATGATTGATAGTCATGAGTTACACAAGATAGAGACTCTCTTTGGATCATCTAGAGAAGTTTATCCACATTAGTTTTGTTAGGACTTTCCTTTTGTCAGACGAACTATTTATTGATTACCAGTAACAAGGTGAATGTGAGGGCCACTTGTTGAGATAGAAAAGACCAGGAGAGAAACAGGTTTGGGGTTGAAAATAAAGAGTTCTGTTTTCACCATGTTCAGGTTGAGATGCCTATTTGACCTCCGAGTAAGTGATATCAAGTATGCAGACAAATATACAAGCCCAGAGCTTAAGGAAAGGAAAGGTTAGGGCTAGAGATATTAATCTGGGAGTTGTCAGCATATTGATAGTATTAAAGCAATAGATGAGATCATCTAGGGAAATAATATAAAGCAGTAGTTCTCAACCCTGGCTGCATATTAGAGTGCCCTGGGATGCTTTTAAAAATTGATTCCCTATCCCAGCCCAATAAATCAGAATCTCTCAGGGAAGGAGGATTAGTATCCATATTGTTTTAAAGCTCCCCAGGAGATTTAACAATTTTTTTATTATGGAAAACTCTAAATATATATAAGATCAGAGAAAATAGTATCATGAATACCATGTATCCATCACCCAGCTTCAACAATTATCAACTCATAGGCAATCTTATTTCATCTCTACCTCATCCATTTACCCTCTGCTCTTCTCCCCCAACCATACTGACAATGGATTATTTTGAAGCAAATTTCAGGATTATCAAATCATTCATAAATTTTTAGTATGTATCTCAAAAATAAATTTTTGTACAAAAAAAGTTCTAATTCCAGGCCGGGAGCAGTGGCTCACGCTTGTAATCCTGGCACTCTGGGAGGCCGAGGCGGGCGGATTGCTCAAGGTCAGAAGTTCAAAACCAGCCTGAGCGAGACCCTGTCTCTACTATAAAAATAGAAAGAAATTAATTGGCCAACTAATATATATATATTTTATATATATATATATATATATAAAAATTAGCCGGGCATGGTGGCGAATGCCTGTAGTCCCAGCTACTCGGGAGGCTGAGGCAGCAGGATTGCTTAAGCCCAGGAGTTTGAGGTTGCTGTGAGCTAGGCTGACGCCATGGCACTCACTCTAGCCTGGGCAACAAAGCGAGACTCTGTCTCAAAAAAAAAAAAAAGTTCTAATTCCTTAATATTATCAAACATCCAGTGTTCAAATTCCCCTAATTGTCCCTTTTGCTGCTGTTTGAAGGTTGACTTGTTCAAATTAGGATCCAAACAAGGGTCAGCTGTTACATTTAATTAATATTATCTCTTGGCTGGGATGGTGGCTCACACCTGTAATCCTAGTACTCTGGGAGGTCAAAGTGGTAGGACTGCTTGAGGTCAGGAGTTCTAGACCAGCCTCAGCAAGAGGAAGACCCAATCTCTACTAAAAATAGAAAGAAATCAGCCAGGCAACTAAAAATAGAAAAAATTAACCAGTTGTGGTGGGGTATGCCTGTAGTCCCAAGCTACTAGGGAGGCTGAGGCAGGAGGATCACTTGAGCTCAGGAGTTTGAAGTTGCTGTGAGCTATGCTGATGCCACAGCACACTAGCCCAGGCAACAGAGCAAAACTCTAATACAGCAAGTATCCACACAAGCAAGCACCTTCAGAAGAACCAAAAATCAGCTGAGTGATTTTATATCAAGGAAAGAGGCACATTAGAGGGCAGATAAGACAGTTTTGGATTGCCTGTGCCACCCCTCCCCTATTCCCCGCAAGTGCCCCCCCCCCCAGCACCCGAGTGGAGAGAGAATCTGTGTGCCCAGGCAAAGGAGAGAGAGGTGATTATAGGGCTTTGCATCAAAACTCAGGGCCGCCCTGGCACAGGGGAACACAACACAGGGCAGAATTCTGCCGGTGCCCATGGAGGGAGCATTTTGACTAGCCTGGCCAGAGGGAAATCCTCTGCCTGGAAGCCTGAGTTCCCACCGGCCCCACAACTGGCAGACAAAGAGCAGCTTGGGGCCTGGACTAACCTCATACAACAGTCAGGCCACAGAGCTGCAATCCCTGGGTAATTCCTGTGACTGTGCTAACTCAAAGCCAGTGGACTTGGGGTGCACGTGATCCAGCAGCTGCAGCCAAACCAGTGCCTGTGTCACCCCTCCCCCAACTATAGGCAGTACAGCCCAGGTAGAGTCTTCTTCCACTTGAGGAAAGGAAAGGTAAGAGCTCAGAAGTCTTTGTTCCGCAACTTGGATACCAGCTTAGCCACAGTAAAATAAAATGCCAAGCAGACTCCTAAGTGCTCTGAGTCTCGACCCTGGTTCCTAGATAGCATTTCTGGACCTAACCTGGGCCAGAAGGAAATATGTTACCTTGAAGAGAATGACCCAGTCCTGGCAAGATTCACCACTTGCCGACTAAAGAGCCTTTGGGCTCAGAGGTAGCCAAGCAACAGTTACCATTGGCTTTGGGTGAGACTGGGCTGGCTTCAGGTATGACCTGGCACTGGTGGCCACAAGGGATGTCCTCATGACTCCTCCCCCAACTCCAGCAGTCCAGCAAAGAGAATGAAGCAAGAGAGTCAAGACCGCCTGGTAATCCTCTTGTATCTTACCCAAACTCACCAAAGTGGTACCACCAGAAGTCTGCAAGAGTTGCAGCATTTCTGCAGTGATCAAAGACTTAAATCACAACACTCAATTCCCTTTGAATATCTGGAAAGTCTTATCAAGAAGGATGGGTTCAAACAAGCCCAGACTGTGAAGATTAAAATAAATATAGGCTGGGCACAGTGGCTCACACCTATAATCCTAGCACCCCAGGAGGCCGAGTCGGCCGGATTGCTCAAGCTCAGGAGTTCGAAAGGAGCCTGAGCGAGACCCCATCTCTACTAAAAATAGAAAGAAATTAATTGGCCAACTAAAAATATATATACAAAAAATTAGCCGGGCATGGTGGCACATGCCTGTAGTCCCAGCTACTTGGGAGGCTGAGGCAGGAAGATTGCTTGAGCCCAGAGATTGAGGTTGCTGTGAGCTAGACTGACGCCACGGCACTCACTCTAGTCTGGGCAACAAAGTGAGACTCTGTCTCAAAAATAAATAAATAAATAAATATATAACTCTTCAATGCCAGACATCTATGAACATCCACAGGCAACGAGAACATCCAGGAAGACATGACCTCACCCAACAAACTAAATGAGGTACCAGTGACCAATCCCTGAATAATGGAGATAGGTGACCTTTCAGATACAGAATTCAAAATAGCTGTCTTGAAGAACCTCAGTAAACCTCAAGACAACACAGAGAAGGAATTCAGAAGCCTATCAGATGGCCGGGTGCGGTGGCTCACACCTGTAATCCTAGCACTCTGGGAGGCCGAGGTGGGAGGATCACTCAAGGTGAGGAGTTCTAGACCAGCCTGAGCAAGAGCGAGACCCCATTTCTACTATAAACAGAAAGAAATTAATTGGCCAACTAAAAATACATATATATAAAAAATTATCTGGGCATGGTGGCACATGCCTGTAGTCCCAGCTATTCAGGAGGCTGAGGCAGGAGGATCGCTTGAGCCCTGGAGTTTGATGTTGCTGTGAGCTAGGCTGATGCCACGGCACTCACTCTAGCCTAGGCAAGAGAGACTCTGTCTCAAAAAAAAAAAAAAAAAGAAGCCAATCAGAGAAATTTAACAGAGATGGAAATATAATAAAAAAAAAAATCAAGCAGAAATTCTAGAGCTTCAAGAATTCAATTGACAAATTGAGACATGCATCAGAGTCACTCAACAGCAAAACTGACCAAGCAGAAGAAAGAATTAGCAAGCTTGAAGATCAGGCTACTTGAAAATACATAGTCAGAAAAGAAAAAGAATAAATAAGAATAAAGTCTACAAGATCTAGAAAATATCCTCAAAAGAACAAATCTAAGAGTTATTGGCCTTAAAGAGGAGGTAGAGAGAAAGATTGGGGTAGAAAATTCATTTAAAGAAATAATAACACTAGCACTTTGGGAGGCCGAGGCGGGCGGATTGCTCAAGGTCAGGAGTTCGAAACCAGCCTGAGCGAGACTCCGTCTCTACCAAAAATAGAAAGAAATTAATTGACCAACTAAAAATATGTATATTTTATATATATATATATATATATAAAAATTAGCCGGGCATGGTGGCGAATGCCTGTAGTCCCAGCTACTCGGGAGGCTGAGGCAGCAGGATTGCTTAAGCCCAGGAGTTTGAGGTTGCTGTGAGCCAGGCTGACGCCACCGCACTCACTCTAGCCTGGGCAAGAAAGTGAGACTCTGTCTCAAAAAAAAAAAAAAAAAAAAAAATGCTGAAGGAAAAAACCTTAACCCTAGAATGTTATATCCTGCAAAAATATCCTTCAGACATGAAAGAGAAATAAAGAATTTCCCAGACAAACAAAAGCTAAGGGATTTCATCAACATCAGACCTGTTCTATAAGAAATGCTAAAAAGAGTTCTTCAATCTGAAAGAAAAGTACATTAATGAACAATAAATCTTCTGAAGGTATACAACTCACTGGTAACAGTAAGAACACAAATACAGAATACTCTAGTGCTCCAATTGTGGTATATAAACCATTTCTATCTTGAGGAGGAAGACTAAAAGACAAACCTATCAAATATAACAACTTTTTGAGAGATAGTATAAAACGATATGGATGGAAACAACAAAAAGATAAAAAGTGGAGCAGGGGGAGATAAAGTTAAAGGGTAAAATTTCTGATAGATTTCTCTTTCCTTGTTTATTCATTTCTCTGTAAGCAGAGTTGTCATATGTTTAAAATAATTGGTTATAAAATGTTTTTTGCAAGCCTTGTGTTAACCTGAAACCAAAAAACCTACAACAGATACACAAAAAATAAAAAGCAAGAAATTAAAACACAGAAAATCACTTT